CTCCCTGGCACAGGGAGCTGCTGAGGAATTCCTCCAGGAACTACTCTCCAGGGGACAAGAGATGATCCAGCCTGAGGGACACTCTGAAAAGAACTGACCTGAAGCTACCCACAGGTCAAATCACTGAATGCCCCAGTGAGGGGCTGGGCAGTGGTAGAGCCCCTGCCTAGAATCCTCCAGTGAGGGGCTGGGGTGTGGCTCAGTGGTAGAGCCCCTGCCTAGAATACCCCAGTGAGGAGCTGGGGGCGTGGCTCAGTGGTAGAGCCCCTGCCTAGGATCCCCCAGTGAGGGGCTAGGGGCGTGGGTCAGTGGTAGAGCCCCTGCCTAGAATCCCCCAGTGAGAGGCTAGGGACATGGTTCAATATTCCTTAGACAAATGTCGTCTAACTTTGGCCTGTTGGGTGGAGGCCATCACTGTTTCAATGTTGCATTTCCTGTGTGTGATCAGCCACAGGAAAACGTCCCAAGTCTCAGGAGATAACCACCTCAGCCTGTAAGGACAGCGGACACAGTGTCTACAATGAACTGTCCAGCGGGCCATCAATAATGACACGGCTACGTGCATATGCAGTGACACAGGCAATTCTAGAGCTGGATGTCAGCCAGCGTGGACCTCCTGAAAAGTACTGGGTGTCTCTATTTCTATTCTCTCTTTGCAACTTTTCTGTGCATTGGCAATGTTTCAAAGCAGAAACTTCAAAGGAAAAAAATAAAAACAACAAAAAAACCCACCTTCAAATCAACCCAATGACACACACACACCCCACACTTCCAGTAACTTCCAATTATCTGGGTTCTGTGTCCCTCCCCAGTACTGGGCAGCAACTGATAAAAATTTTATGTTTAGCTCATTCCTTTGTTTTCTGCCTTGATCCACTATGGAAAAGTCCAGTAAATTTGGATGGAATCTTTCTGTGTGCCTTTTTTGTTTGTTTGTCTGTTTGTTTTGTTTTTTTGTGGTGCTGAGGGTGGAACCCAGGGCTTCCTGAACACCTGGTCACAGCCTCAGCTTCCTCTGACTTCTGTTGAGATTGTATGTCACTAAGATGCCCAAGCTGACCTTGAATTTGCCACCCCCCTGCCTTAGCCACTTTAATGCTAGAATGACAGGTATGTCCCATTCTTTGTAGTGTTAGGACAAAAACAATTTGGAAAAGCACAACTCTGAGGAGTTTTAGTGTGCCTGGTGTGTGCACAATCATCACCTCAATTAATTCCAGAATATATTTTTTAATCATTTTTAAAAAGTCCTATGAAAGCTGGGGCATGGCTCAGTGTTAGAGCCCCTGCCTAGAATTCCCCAGTGAGGGTCTGGGGGCGTGGCTCAGTGGTAGAGCCCCTGCCTAGAATCCCCCAGTGAGGGGCTGGGGCGTGGTTCAGCGGTAGAGTACTTCACCCTCAGTTCTATCCCTAGTCATACACACCACACACAGCAAAATCCCTGATCCCTTTAGCTGTTCTCCCCTCCTTAGGTAACCACTAGTCTGCTCCTGCTTTATGTGGGTTTCCCTGTTCTGGGCACTGCACAGAAATGAAACTCCACCCGGCCTCTGCCACTGTTCTAGAAGCTCACCCTCCTGCCATGTTTCTGCCTCTTACGCACAGTAGATCTGAAAAATGGGGCATGACCCAGAAGTTTCTAACAATCCTCCCCCCACAGCAGACCAAGACTAGAACCCAAACCCACCAGATGTGCAGCTCACTGCTTGGGACCCAATATCACTGTCCTCCAGGCAGTGGGCATCCAACAAATCCTTGCTCCTTGTCTGACCATGTGGCCTCAAGGCCACCTGACCCTGCCCACCCTGCCCCTGGTACCTTGAGGTTGTGCCCATCGAAGGGCAGGGAGCCGCTGACCAGTGTGTACAGGATGACACCAAGGCTCCAGATGTCCACCTCTGGCCCATCGTACTTCTTGCCCTGGAACCCTGGAACAGCTCGGGGGCGGCGTACGGGGGGCTCCCACAGAAGGTGTCCAGCTTGGAGCCCAGTGTGAACTCATTGCTGAAGCCGAAGTCGGCGATTTTGATGTTGGCCTCCGCATCCAGCAACAGGTTCTCTGCCTGAAAGGGAGGGCAGAGTGTGAAGAGAGCGGCTCACTGCGGAGCCTGGCTGGCCTAACTTGC